TATATCATTATAAAGTTTTCGTCAAGATGATTAAAATGACACCAAAAGAAAAGTCTATGTAGTTCCCAATTTTTATTTTATACATTTTCTATATTATTTTATTATTATTAATATTTAATAAATTATATAAATCAATCAAAATATATAAACCATATAAAAATAATATTTCAAGGGCAGTAAAGTACAAGTCTAAAGAACATAAATTACAATAAATAAAATTTAAAGAATGAATAAAATGTAAAGAATAAGACACATTTGATGTTTTAGGAGAGAATTGGGTTTTATTTTGAGGTTACGGTGGTAAATATAGGTTCATTCCACCTTGTTCCATAGGGTAAGATGGAACAAACCTGTTCCACTCTGTTCCACATAAAAGTCATGTCAAACGTAAAACAGTGATCCTTATTCTATTTTGTCATATCCAGTGTACCAAACGCACCTTAAGGCGTTAACATCATTAAAATGAGCACCACAGTATTACCTCAAAAGCGAAAAATCCGCCAGATTTTAGCATCAAAGCGGCACCATTGCAAAGATGCAGAAGGTCAGCCATGCCATCTTCGCCACCATCTAATGCGAGTATTGGTTCGTGTCTGCCAACTTCGGCTTGGAGTCCACTGATGTGGCCACTCGGTATGTATGGTGGATTGCTTACAAGGCCTGCAACTTGTCCTTCAAACTCACTCAACGGTTCAAACCATGACCCTTGCTTTACAGAAATTTTATCCTGATAGAAATGGCACAAGCTAAAGATGAGGGAGGATTACAAAATTTACAAGAAAATGAAAAGTAAAGACATATGGTTAGGATAGGATAGCGTAACCACCCAAAGCAACACGCTGGCCCAATAACTTCGAATCTAACTTAAAACCATGATGAAAATTATTGGTAGCCCACAACTTGAGGCTTATAAGAAGCTCACAAATCCCCATTTTCTATCCATGTGGGACGAGTTGTTACAGATAGACCAATAGATCCGGAAAGCAAAGAGCTTTTGATGCATAGATGATATAATCACCAACAAAAATTGCAAGGAACCAAGAAATTCTTGGTGAAACTCACTTGGTTCAAAGTTTGGCCTATTTGTCAGATATTTGGGCAAAACGCTGATTACTGGCAACCTAACCGCCCCCATATTGAACCTCGCCCCACCTCTTTACCAACCAAGCTACACGTCTATTAAATCCAAGCAATAGAAGTCCCCAAAGGGCAGGTATCGAGAACTTGAGAACCAACTATTCATATTTTATTCATCAAGAGTGTCTCTGATAGATATTCATAATGAAAAATACATGATATGATAAAAATGCACGATATTGATGATGAATATGCATGACATCCATTGCTATTCATAATGAATAATACTATTTATGGTTCTCCTTTGAACTTCCCTCAAGTCCCCAAATACCCTAAACAATCCAAACTTAAAAGAAACCTTATAAAGGCATGTGCTTTCATATAATCATACTAAAAAACCAACTTCATTGTAATGAAATTGGAAAACAAAACCATATGGATTCAATCAACAACTAAACGAATATACGATCGAGGCCAAAACCATCGTCACCGTTCTTCCCTATAAAATCTCAAACCTTAAAAGATCCTTTGTGATCATGGTACTCCATAAGAGAAAAGTTCAAAATTTACCAAATTAGAACTTTGAAACCACCCACATTACCTGCAAATTATACCTTTTGACATTGAATGAAGCAACTTGAGCAGCAACAGAACTTAAATCAATTGCAATAACTCTCCCAAAATCCCCTAAAATCCTCATAATCCCAATTGCAATTGCACCACTACCAGTCCCCAAATCAACCCATAAACCCTCCTTCAATTCTTCATTCTCCTTAATCACATCATCCACCAAATCAACTATTAATTCAGTCTCAGGCCTTGGAATCAAAACCCCTTCTTCAACACTTAGCACCAAATCCCTCCAATGCTCACACCCTACTACATACTGAAATGGCCTTCTCTGTTCAATCCTTTGCTTCCATAATGAGTACAGATCACCCAAATCAGCTCTTAGATTCAAAACAGAATCGATTTCATATTCGTTGCTAGTTAATAACGATTGGGGGTTTTCTAGAGCGTCTTCGATGAGCCAATTGAGTTCTCTGTGCAAATTGTGAGAGTCCGGACCGTTATCTGAATCCGTGAAGGATGACCCGACTGAGGAGGCTAAGGTTTTCGCCCAATTTTGCCACTTTTGGAGGTCGGATAGGGTTGCGGAGAAGGTGGGTGGTCTGAGAAAAATTGGGGTTTTAGGGTTTATTGAAATGGGTATATTCGAAATCGAACAACAAGAAAAGGGTCTAATCGCGATGGAGCGATGGAGAATTCTTGATGTGGATGTGGCTGAGAGAGATGAGGCTCGCACCAAGCTCGCAAGATTCATCTACCTGCAATTTTGAATTCTTTCACAAATACGACTGTTTCTGTGTTTTGTGTTTAATCGGAATGGATTGGATTGCACCCATAACTTCAACTAACCGTTATTTGGGATTGCTTATAACATTAACTTATTGATTTATTCCGATATAACATCGGTAATAAACATTTTTTAGTGTTTAGATAAAGAGCTTATACCGGTGTCAAATCGGTAATAAGAAGTTTTTTAAGAAGTTAAACTCTTCTGACTTATAATAAGCTGATAAGTGTTTTTGTTAGTTTTAGTTCAAACCGTAAACCGTACCGTATACGTGGTTTGAGTTATTTTCCAGATCCAAACCGCGAACCGCACTACGGATATTTTAATCCGCACTTTGTTTTGCGATGCGGTACGGTGCCAACGGTTTGTGCAGCTTGACGGTTTGGATGAACACCTCTACTTTCAACATTCAAATTGGACGGGTTGGTTCTTGGATGAAAATCCAACATCCAATAAAACCGAACCGATCAAATTCGATCATCATCCATTTCCCATCCAATGACCATCCAATTATTACCTAATAACGATCCAATTAATAACTATGCATAATAATTAATATTTTACAATATTGTTTTTTAATTGATATTTATAATCATTATTTATTAATAACTTAAGAAAATATACCAATATTTGATTGGAGTGATGGATTAATTGGCTGAAAATCAGATCAAAATATTGATGTATGTAATAAGAAAATCATTAAATAGAAGTGTATTTAAAGCATCAACAGATTCTCCAAAAAAAAATCAAAATGGAGAAACCAAAAGTCAAAATATTTAAAAAAAATCAGAACATCTCCAGTAGATTTTCCAAAATTTTGTCAAAATGAAGAAAAAAAGTCAAAATCTTCAAAAAAAATTACATTAATTTCCAACAGATTCTCTATTTCGGATAATTTAATATTATTCATAATATTAATATATTTCATTCGTCTATTAAAATATTATTTATCCCTCTAAATATTTATTTTCAAAGTTTCCTATTGGTGCTCTCAATTTGTTAATCCAGTTTTGGGTAATCTTCGTATTTGGAGAAAAAAACTCCCTTTTCTCATACTTTCTCCATTTTGAAAGATAGTTTCGGAGAAATTGTTGGAGCAAAATATTGGTTCAAAATCTTCATTTCCTCCATTTTGGAGATGCTCTTACATTCATCTTCAACAGATTCTCCATTTGTAGAATTCAATATTGATTATAATATTAAAATATTTCAGTAGAATTGTCCGCCCTATAAATGGCCCGCCCAATGAGTCTCAACTCTCATCCTATAACTTTAATAATTTATTTTTAAAATATATTAATAAACTTTTAATTAATGGTAAAAATATTAATTATAAAAAACATAAACGGGTCAGGTCTGTCCATATTTATTTTTACATTTCCATGTACAAACCCAAACCCATTCATTTTATCTATAATAGTTATCCAAACCCGTATTTCTAATGAGTCGAATAAACCAGGTCTAACGGGCTTTTCACCCAAAAACAACTATCACTCATTTTCAATTATTGGAGAAGATAAAAGTCAAAAGGATATAATGTGTTTAGTCCAACAAGGAAGCCGACCGTTAAATTGACCTTTTATTTTTAAACTATAAATTCTCCATTCATTTCACATTATTGGGGTGTGTTGATTAATTGTTGACCAATTCCACCCTTTGTTATTTATATGCATTTTTTATAAGCTAAAAAACCCATGTTTTATTCATAAAAATTAATATCTGTAAATAATACAGATATATTTATCTTTGAAAGCGTTTCTGTTTTCGTTGTAGTCTGTCTTTGTAGAAGGAGTATGCTTCTGTGAAGTATGGTTTGGTTTATTATATCTATTGTCAAAGATGTTTTCATTGGATTGTAACTTGTCTTATAGGAGAAGTATGCTTTCATACCAAATAGTTTTTGTCCTAGAGGTATGTGAGTTTTTAGCCTCCTAAGAAGTCAGATGTTTAACCCTCACCAAATGTGAGGATGGTGTGTGAGTTTATTTATTCTATTTGTCGTATATAAATATTATATACTTCAAAAAAAAGGATGATTTCATAGAGTATACGATTGACGAGTAGTGGACTCGGATTCTTGTGAATTTCAAGTTGGCTACATCCTTTTTTCGTGACGTTGACAATAAGGGTTTTACGTCATAAGTTCTTTTTTTTTTTTTAAATTGGCCAACCTACGTGTTTAATATTGTTAAGTTTGAGTATTTAAGGGCTGTTTGACAATTGTTCAATGGTTTGATGCAAAATGATTAAGTGGTCAGAATGATTAAGATTCTCTCATGGTATAGTGCATAATGAAATATAATTGTTTGGTAATTGTTTATAATAAAATTATGGTGCTGAATGGTTGAGGGAGATCCATGATACAAAATCACTAAGAGAGTTTTAGAACCATTAAGAGACAGTTTTTTTTTTGTCAAACAAGATTCACCTCTTAACAATTCAAAGGCTGCCCCTTAAAAGGTAAACAAACAACCCCTTAAATCTATATTTTAGTCTCAAATATTTGAGTCAGCTCAATGCCTCCTCACATATGGTTTATAGGGGCTAGGTTCTATGTAGGCCCTGACAACGTTGCCATTAATCAATATTTTACTCAAAAATAAGATAACTGTTAAAGTTGAATGTAATTTTTTCTTCAAACAATCAGAGGTTCCCGTTCCCGTCCCTGATCCGAACAGGTTATCAAAAGCCCTAATTTTGACGTGTTGAATTAGGGGGTGTTTGGGATTGCTTATTTGAAACAACTTATGTTTTTCTATAAAAGTGCTTGTCAACTTATTACAAGTTAGAATGTTTTAACTTATTCAAAAACTTCTTATTATCAGTTTGACACCGATATAAATTGTTTATCCAAACACTAAAAAATGTTTATTACTAATGTCATATCGAAATAAATCAATAAATTATTTTTATGAGAAATACCAAACACTTCAATTTAATAAAAGAAGATACCGGCTGAAATTGAATCCTGAATAAGTGTAGGGCGGACTGATTGGATTCTATCCACCTACTAAACACACACTTTTTATTTGATAATTACACACACATCTTTTCTGCTGCTTCATCTGTATTCGAGTTGTCTTTTTGGAGGGTTGCTGTAGATCCATCTTTCTTTTTCTTTTTCTTTTAATGTCATTTCGATCTTCTTCTTGATTTGTTACCAGCAACGTACAAATTTGTATTTATAAAATCCCCTTTAAATGGGTACATGTTATTCCACCACCGGCGACGGCCGGCGAGATAGAAAAGACGGTGGTGGCGATGAAGATGATGAAACTGATAGATGGTGGAAGTCCAAAAGTGGTAGGAAGATCAATCGTAAACCCATCGATTTGAAGTTCAAATTTGGTGGTGGCGGCGGCCGTGGCAGGGCGGCGGAGGAACGCGCCCTCCACCAGGTTCCCGGTAGACTTTTCGGTAATGGGTCAAGTAGCATCGCTTGTTTACATACGCAGCAGGGAAAGAAAGGGACGAATCAAGACGCCATGATCGTTTGGGAGGTTTGTCATTCATCATCACACCTATAGATACAGATATATATATATATATACACACACACACATATAATATATCTGTATATCTATGATGTTCTCACGTGAACCCAACCCTGTGTATATATATATCATATATGATTTTGTATTGAAAGTTTTCAATTTGAAAACCGATTAGACAGTTAGGTTAGAAATTAGGGAAAATTTGTGGCAATTAATGTGACCGAAAGGGTGCCAAGGACCGTTTACCAAAGGCTTACCGGGTGTGCATGATAAGGACTGTGCCTAATACTCGATAAGTGACGGAGAAGACTCTTATCTTGTAAGTGCTAATCGGGTAAAAGAAGCTTAGGAGCTGTTTGGTTGGTTTTTCGTTAAGTCCCGTATGGATAAAGTTTTCGGTGTGGATTAATATTCCGTATAGATTGGAAATGCTTTTGTTTGGGAGTGTTTTTTCATAGATGGAATGAGCTTGTTTTTTAATTGGGAGGAGCATATCCGGAAAAAAAAAAACTTTGTTTTCTGCGTAAAGCTTCCTTCTAAAAACTTACTAAGCCACTTTCTGTCTCATTAAGCAACTAACGAATAGTCATATATAGCTGACTGAATAAGCTGCGAGTCCCGTTAAGCTCATTACCTGCTAACACTTTTACACCGAACACATCAACACACAATTGTTTGCTTCTATAAAGCCGTTTGTTAGTAGGTTTAGACATGTATGGCGCCCATCGACTCTTTGAGGTAGATGTCAGGTGTTCCATAAAGCCGAATTTGTTCCATAACTTTTGATCATTCTTTTCTTTAATGTGTTTTGAATTGGATCGCTTATGCTGTTAACGGAATGTTTATGAATCAGAAATTCGATTCAACGAATGAGGCGGTGTTTTGTGGAGTATTTGACGGGCATGGTCCGTACGGACATATGGTTGCTCGGAAAATTAGGGACTCGCTTCCCGTTTTGTTGTCCACCCATTGGAAAGCTACTTCAGATAGCGAAAATGGCGATGCCAATGGAAGCGTGCACGATGATGAAGAAGAAGATAAATGGTGTGAAGAATTGGAAGTCGAAGAGAAAGATCGAGTGCCCGAGAAGTACCTTTCACTTAAAAAGTCGATATTAAAAGCTTTCAGGTTAATGGATACAGAACTTAAAACACATCCATCGATCGATTGTTTTTGCAGTGGATCAACTGCGGTCGCTTTGATCAAGCAGGTATTAAAATTTCTCAAATTTACTTAAAATTTTAGTACGATCGCCAAAATTGGAGTCGACCCGTCACAAAAGCACCAACTTTTTCCAAATTAACATAAAATAACCGCCTGTTTTGCAAAAAGCATGAGCAAAAACCCTCTTTTTGAGAACAAAGATCTTCTTCGATTTTTGTGGGCCACTTTGCAAAAAGGGCGTTTTTACGAGTTTTAGGTTTTGTTCACGGTTTTTGCAAAGTCGGCCCACAAACCAAATAAAATATGCAAAAAATTACATTTTGCAAAAAAAAGGGGTTCTTCCTCATGTTTTTTTGTGAAACAAGTGGTTATTTTTAGGCATGGGGATGGGGCGGGTTTTGTAATCTCCGGCCCGGTCCTCGGCAGGTACGAGGATTAACATCCCATCTCCGGTCAAACCCCTGTCAACCCCCGTTAAGAATATCCGTTAGTTTGAGTCTATCAGGGATCCTGGGCCCCGCCCCCGGCTCCAACTCCGGTTTGAGTAACAGCCCCGGCCCCGGTTTGAGTCTACTAGGGATCCCGGCCCAATTTTTGATTATTTTGTGCTAATTTGAAAAAAATTGGTCATTTTGTGATCGGTCAACTCGAAAAAAATGTGTTTGTTTAGTTAACGGCAATGAATTGTTGAGAAATCAAAGAAGAGCGAACAGAAAAGTTGCCGAATTGATCCAACTTGCATCTTCTTTTAAATAGATCATATGGTGATAAATCTCGCGTTTCAGGCTCAGGATCTTATAATCGGAAATCTTGGAGACTCGAGAGCGGTGTTGGCAACGAGAGACGATGAAAATGCGTTAGTTGCGGTTCAATTGACCGTTGATTTGAAACCCAATCTCCCAAGTAAGTCTCTCTCACTACAACAAAATGGGTCCTTTTAGTTAGTTTAGCCATCATTGGGCCTTATCATACATTACATAATGGGATTATATATTCGGGAAAAAAGTTGATTATCGCCAAACCCCAACCGAGCCTACATGGAACCTGCCCCCAAAGACACCAATGTGAGGGGACATTTTTGGCTCACTCAGCGGCTGAGGCTAGCGGGGGGCAGGATCGAACCCATGACCTGTCTTGTATTTGAGCAAAGTCGGACCGCTCCTTTGCGAACTGAGCTACATGCCAGAAGCTAATGGGACTGAAAATTGTCATGACATTAACTTTTTGAGCCATAGAACTTGTTAGGTCGTCTAATTTCGTCATAACAACTTATTGTAATGCTTTTATATAGGACACAGTTATTCGTCTTGTAAAAATGAAGGACCATCCAGTATTCTATGAAGGTGCATTTAGTAAGCTGGACATGACAGAACAGAACTGAAACTTTTTGTCCCACACGTCTGTTGCGTCATTAGACTGGGACCCACCAACATAGGTGGAAAAAATAAGGAAATAGGACAAGATTGGTAAATTACTAAACTAGTCATGTCAGATTAAAACCTTTGACAATGGTATCCAGGAGAAGCAGCTCGGATTCAGCAATTCAAAGGACGGGTTTTCGCGTTGCAGGATGAGCCAGAGGTTGCACGCGTGTGGTTGCCGAATAGCGATTCTCCTGGTTTGGCGATGGCTCGAGCTTTCGGGGACTTTTGCCTAAAGGACTTCGGCTTAATTTCCGTTCCAGATGTTTATTACCACCATATCACCGATAAAGACAAGTTTGTCGTTCTTGCAACTGACGGGGTACCGTATTTCTCCCATCGTTTTTCACAACAAAAATATTGGGGGGCCCACTAACCTCCGAATTAACTTAAAAGCATGGTGAAAGTTATTGGTAGCTAAAACTTTTGAGCTTATATAGAGTTCATTATGGGTGCTTTTGGTATCCAGCATGACAGGACAAGACAGTTGTGTTTGGTAAGACTAGACAAAACATGTGTTCGATGTTTAAAAAACATAAAATACAATAAATGAAATTCAAATAATGAATAAAATGTAAATATTTGATGTTTTAGAAGATAATTAGGTTTTATTGAGGGTATGTTGGTAAAATATAGGTCCGTTCCACCTTGTTTCATGGGGTGGGAGTGGAACACACCTGTTCCACTCTTCCACTTTGTTCCACATAAAAGTCTTGCCAAACAATTATTGATCGCTGTTCTGTCATGTTCAGTGTACCAAACGCACCTTGGCTCTAATACCATATTTAACGCTCCATATCCCAAGTAGCAGGCTGATTCAGTAATCTGTATTGGTATCCCACGACTTTGAGCTTACAAGGAGTTCAATACAGAAACGTGGCTCTGGTACCATATTTAAGGCTCCATAGCCCAAAGTAGCTGATTCAATAATCTGTGTTGATAGCCCACGACTTTGAGCTTTTAAAGAGCTGACAAATCTAATTTAATAATCCATGTGGCACGGTTTCTAAAAGCTTTTTGTTAATTTGGAACAGGTATGGGATGTTCTCTCGAATAAAGAAGCTGTGGACATCGTGGCGGCCGCCCCTAGCCGATCAACCGCCGCCAGAGCTCTTGTCGATTGTGCCACAAGGGCATGGCGGCTGAAATATCCCACGTCCAAAAACGACGATTGTGCTGCCGTATGCCTATTTCTTGATCCAAAACCTGTGCCCGGTTCACAAAAGATGGAAACCAAAGAACCTGATATTGGTATCGTTCCACACGAACCTGCAACTAATCCAACGGTTCTTGAGCATTCAGGCACCGTTAGAGATTCAAGCGAGATCGTGCCGTTTGTCGAGCCGCCAGAAAACAAATTGCCCGAAAAGGGTGTCGGTGGTTCGAAACGGAGCCTAGCTGAGTGCATAACGAGTAACGAAGATGAAGAATGGTCGGCTCTCGATGGCGTGACTCGGGTCAATAGTCTGCTAAGCATTCCAAGATTCTTGACTGGTGAGAAAAGATCAAACAGTTCAAGAAAACCTGTCATCAAGATTTGATTTTTAAAGAAACCCAAATCTTTTTATGTGATATATTTGAGGTTAAAGTTATCAAGATTCAAGAACAGTAGGCATAGATTTAAAATTTTCTTGGTGATGCTTCTGATTTTTTGTGTATAAGCAGGTTTTTGATCTGTTGTTATTGTTAAAGATACAGATTTTGTGTTGTTTATAGAAATATACAGTAGATTTTGATTAACCTGGATATCCAACCCGTTACGTGAGCCGACTAATCTCATGACGACCACTTGCATTGCGGGTAGCCCAGAGTTACCTCTCGTTCGAACCTCTGTGGTCACAAGGGGATTTTTTATTACTCATTGGATTTGAACCCGGGACCTCCAGACACTTTTAACCTTCGAAGTCCGAGCTCAAACCAATCAGGGACCACCCTTGTGGTTGATATAATGAATTTTATGTGATATGTTTAGGGGAAAACCTAAAATGAATGAAAAACTAGAAAACACCTTATTWACTGATAGATGAGATGATGCGATGGATGTGATTAAACGAACATTTACAACAATATTTTTTAAATTAGAAAATCTCAACCCCCTATTTTTTATTCGAAAAAGACGTAAAATAAACAAAATTTTGGACGAAATAAATTACACCAAAATAACGATCATATTTTTCTCGTTAAAATGACATCCATATTGATATACTTTTCATTCAATATGGACATCTCTACTTGTACATGATATTTGGGCTATGAGATTGGGCTTGGCCCATGTTATGGAAGTTCCAATATTGGGTTTGTTTTGTATGCCTACTTTTTTTTTAATAATAAAAATAAAAATTTATATATGTAGGACTGTATTTAGTAATATATAGGGGTGTAATTAGCCCGCTCTTATTTATAAATATCAACTGCAAAGGTGTTTCAGATCTGATTTAATTATGTGGGTTGTGACACACTGGTTAAGTCTCATAGGGATGTAATGAAAAATCTCATCTACCTCGAGTTCGAACACAACTGTTGTCAAAACCTTTTTACCCATGGAGGTTCAATTCACCTGTAATGATTCCAGGTCATTCGTTATCGTTCGAGGATTAATCAATTTGCATAAGCTGGTCCGAAAACCTACAGTTATATAAAAAAGCAAAAAAGTATTTGGGGATTTTATGTTTAAAGCTTTTCGATTCAATAGATTCTTCCAAATTGTTGGGAATCTTTTGGATCAGGGGTATAATTGTCCAACTCATTAGATTATGAAGGACAAAAATGGAAAAGAAAAAATCAATTGTGAATAAATTTGGGCATGTCACATCAAGAACAACAATGCACATGTGAAGGTAAAAAAAGTTTGTGCAATGCAAGAACCAATTCAGGCTTTTTAACGCTTGCACTCCAAATGCATATGCATTAAATGGGAAAAACCATAAGGTGGTAGTTGATTGATTTGAGTTTGGTTTCAAGTAACTGAAGGTTTCAGGTTTAAATCCAAACAGGTATAAAAATCTTTTTATGGTCATAGAGGTTTAATCTCCCCATCCCCGACCCTGCCCCGATTAATCGAGGCTGGATTAGGGGTAGGTAATGACATCCCTAATCTGTTTCGACCTTGATCCCGCTTCGGGCATAAAAATAAATCCCATCCCTACCCCATTACCCGTCAAAGAGAGGAATCCTCGGCTCGTTAGGAGTATCCATCCCGACGGATAAAATTTATATTTCTAGTTTGAGTTATCAGAATTTATAATATGAGACACATCGAATTTGATCGTACCAATACAATTTTATTTATTAAAATAAACAACTCTAAACTTCATAAAATTTTTGTTACCATATCTATACTATATATTATAAATAATTTGACAAAAACTCTTAAAAACTATCTTTTATACATAAAGTACTGCTTATTGATACATCTTACTTAAAATTCAAGATTACAAGTAAATTATGCATAAGTACAATTTATTAAACTCTATGTTTAAATTCGTGTAACTAATTGTAGATAAATATAATCAAATATGGAATAAAATTCTTATTTTAAATATAAAAATTTAAAATATAATTAAGATAATTATTGAATTCTAATAAAATATTT